TTTAATGCACTGGATTGGGATTTGCGAGACCTGGAGTATGTTCCCAACTCTACCACGGTCAAGATGGGATGAGTAGAAGGATGAGCAAACAAAGAGAAGGAGCTGTTTAACTGTGGCAAAAATGTGGATTGTTTGTCTGCTTTGGAGGTTGCATAGGTTTGCTCTTAGGTTTTGCTATTCAGGTTAATAAACAGCTTTAAAGAATCCTGCATGTTCATTTAAGATCTGACAGTTAATCTTGCATTATTGCAGAAAGTCAGATGTAGTTTTAACAACATAGAATGACTTGCGTGAGGTGTCAGGTACCATTTCTCAGTGTTTCTTGGTTGACTTGATTCAGCAAGTCACCATATAGTCTTCAACTTGCATGTAGCCTGCATCATTTCTGTGCAACATTATATGTTTACACAGTTCACGTACTATCTTGTTTAGACACCAGCACCTGATAAACATACACATGGTATTTTCTTTGTCACACCAGATAAAGTTCCTATAGTGCATTAGTAACTGTGGGTTTTTTTTGTCCTTTTCAGCTTTGTCTGCTGACCTTGAGCTGTAGACCATTAAGCTCAGCATCCTGACTTGGTGCCATCCTAGAGAGGATGAATCAGGAAAGCAAATCAAGTGATCAGCCTGGTGGTGAGTTTTTTGCTTGTTCAGATATTCATGCATCTGTTTGTTCAGTGTTTTTGCTTTTCATTCATTTTCCTAGCTTCTACTGGAGAATAAGTCACAATAGAGCAAAAGCTATGAAATCTTTGATAAGTGGGATGCCGTGAAGGTGACACTGCCTTTTAGGTTTCCAAGAACCACATCTAGATATCAGAATTCTTAGAATTACATTCCAGACTGAAAATGTTTATAATTGTTTTTTATAATTTCCTACCTACTCAAAAGAGCATATGATTCTTATTATGGTGTATTTCACAATTCATTCAGATTTTATCTGTGGGTTTTCCCCCGTCATTAGTCGCTTTACCCTATAAAAAGACTTGGGGAAAATGCACACACATACCATTGTCGTGTTTTGTCCCATGAAGTTTGTGTCAGGGTTCTTGGGGTGGAGATTGAATGGACAGGAATTTATTACTTATTCTGGCTCAGTCATGCCAAAATTTTCCTCTCTTCCTTCCCCATCTTTGGTTATTGGCATTCAGGAACACCCATTATTTCTGGCAGTTTCTGCAAGGGAGAAAAGCCTGAGGGAGGTGTAATCCAGGCATAATGCCGAGCAGCTCCCAGGCTCTTGCTCTGCTGTGCGCTTTCCTGGATGCGGGAAGGGGCCTTGTTCTTCCCTCCTGGTTTATGGGTGAGGTTGCCTCGTCCAATTCCTTTTCTAGGATTAGAGGCTGCTATGAGAGCTGTCTGCTCAATTTTCATTTATTTATTTTATTGTCAAGAGTCATGAGAGTTCCTCTGTTTTTCAGACTCGGTTGGGCAAACTCCTCCAGGCTGTCTGCTGGAGGGTCTTGTTACACTATCAGATTGCTGGGATAGCAAGGAAAGCAAGGAGTCCTCATAGACACCAGCCCTGTGCCCTTCTCCCTTGCTATCACAATCCATATGGTTGTAGATAGAGCAGGATGGCAAATTTGGGACTCTACATACCTTCTATCCTGCTGTGACCCCTGGGTTTGAATCTGGGAGCTCAAGAATGGGAAACTGTAGGAAAATTCTTGTGGTAGCATGGAAGAGAAAGGTATCGTGTTATTTTCCACACTGTCCAGCTGACCACAGTGTTGAGGAGACAGAATTTCCAGTCTTTAATACTCTGCACGTGTGTTTATTCCTGTGACCGCATGGGGATTACCTGGCAGGATGTCATGCGGATTTGCGAATCATCAACAAAAGGACTCAGAGGCAGGGGCTTCAAAGAAGAGATTTGAGACTTGAAAAGTCTCTAGCACAAACCATCCTGGATGCTCATGAGAAATGTGTGGATTGGATGGCCACAATACTCACAAATTTGCTTATTGCAATGTTATTTTTGTAGAGATGTTAAATATTGTACCTTGAGTTTAAATCCACTCTCTGAGAAGCAGACGGTAGATTCAACCTGTCAAGAAGGATGCATTTCCAACATATTGCTGCTATGGATTTCACATCTTCCTCTGAAGTGCTTAGTACCACTTACTCTTGAAGGGAAGGCACTGGATGAGACGGGTCTGATCCTCTGCAGATTTATGTCTTGGCTGAAGGTAGTTCTTCAAATTTGGATCTGCGTTCACTTTCCAGCACCAGCTTCTGTAGCTACCTAATAAGTTTTAGATTTAGCTTGTTTCATTACTCAATCGTTGTTACTGTTGTTACTGCTGTAACTATAGTTAGAGAGGAAGGATATTATAATCTTGTGGAAGATTAAAATATTGTTACTGTAATCCAGCTGGAAGGGTAGCATTTTTCTCAGGGTAAGAGACAGCCACGTCTTTTCCCATTCTGTCCTCCCCTTGTATAAAGGAAGGAAGTGCTGGCAAGGGCTTCCTCAGCTTCCTGTCGACTTCGGAGCATATTTCCAGACACAATCTTCTCCCCCATCCATCACCCAGTCCGGCCAAACAATCACTGCAGCACAACGGGAAAAACACACGTCTCACATAAACACTTTGGAAGTAGCAGGAACCCAAACCGCTGGAATTTGTGCTCAATCCAGTTTGATCATTAAGCTCTGACAGCAGGTTCCTGTGGATTTTCTCCTCTCCCCTTTCTAATCGAACATCTCAATTCTCAATAATTAAAATTCTCATTTAAAAGAACCTTTAAAAAAGGTGCTTAGGGAAAATCTCTGCTCCTAATTGCAGAAAGATAAAAAGTCTGCTGTAAAGAGGTCATGAGCAGTTGCTGGGGCACTTCTCAGGACTGCTGTATTACATAGCAAAAAATGGCTTGTTACACAGCAAAATATGGCAGAATATAGAGAGTCCAACTTGAGGAAGAAACTACTTTTTAATGACTGAAGCTTGATTTTTATTTATTTTTTCTTTATACTTCTGGCCTGAATGATCTGTGTGCAAGTCTGAACACCTAGCTTAGTCTAAGAGAGGGGGCTTGGTGCTCTGTACTGTCTTTTCAGGGTTTTCTTGAATTTTTGAACTCATCCCATGGTTCTTTGGACTGATAGGCTCCAAAATGACTTCCTAGATTGCATTCACACCAGTATTGGGACAGGCTCGTGTAAGGGAATGGACGAAGGAGGACTGGAAGACTATCAGCAAGTGAGCCTGTCCTCCTTGCTTCAGTTTGACAGATTATAGGCCGGGTTGAACTGTGGTCCACACAGCACCTCTGGGTTAGCGAGGCATAACAGCTTGTAGCGTAGTGTGGAGTTAAAGCACCTCTAAGATTCCTGTTTGGATCATGGGAGGTTTGGGGTAGAGTTCAGTTAAGAATCCAGGATAATGGTGACTTTAAAATTTATCGTACAGTTTCAGCAGTTCATTGGTGTACGGAAATTGCATGCTGTGGAATTGGGCTTTTTCTAAACAGACGCTCCGTGGTTGCTCCAGCCCTTTTCTCTGGCTGGTCTCCCTGAAGAGGGCTGCTGTCATTAGCTTGTGCTTTGTGGCTGCCTTTGTAGTGTGTCTAGTGTATTGTCAGTCAAAATAATATTTACTTAAGGCTACATTTTGGCTGAATTAGGATTAAACTTGAATATGGGAGTAAGTGCTGGAAGCAGAGCGTGTCTAATTCAGTGGCATGATTTTCAGCCTAGAGCTGTAGAGGTAATTGGTGAAGACTGCTCAGCAGCAGGTTGCATGCGGCTGAAATCCGGCCCCTCGCACCTCTTACGTGTGTTGGCTACGTGGCTGTAATATTCAGTGCAATATTCAGCATGTAACTCTTGATAGGTTGAATGTCCAGAAAAGTCCACATTTCATAGGTTGAATGTCCAGAAAAGTCCACATTTCAGTGCCACTTCTGTGCTGTTTTATCCCTTTGTGCTTTACTTCGGCTTGTAGTGGGGTGCTTGTGGGCAGTTAGCCTTTAAATGCCATCAAAATATTCTGGGGGACAGAAGTGACATCTTATTTAAGGTCTTTACTGAATTCGGTTCTGTAGGATCTTCGTACAAAATCTGAAAGTACTTTTGAAATAGTAATTATTTTTAAATCCACCAAAAGTGTGGATGAGTAATACTGAGTTAAAAAGAACAGAAGCTAAAAGGGCCTGAGGGGGAGGGGGCAATGATGAATACAGTAGTAATAGCTGTCATGTCAGAAAAAAAAAAAATCAAAAATAGCCCAAAAAGCAAAAGAACCTTTTTTTTGAACTACCAAAGAAGTGTTGAGGTATTTGTTTCCCTTTGTTCTGAAACAGCTGTGTGGGTGGAGTGGTCCATTCCCTCAGCACCAACATCCCAAATAGTAACTGGCCTGAAATGTAGAAGCTGAATCACTCAAAAATGGAGGTACAACCATGTGCCCCTCCATGAGGGCAAGGGCTGAGATAACTAGGAAAGAAAAATCCTTGGGGTGATGCTTGTGAGTGGATGCTATTGTGCTGAAATAGCAGGAACTTTGAAAGAAAAGAGCAAAACTCGACCCCCTTATTTCATGTCATGCCTTAGACCCGAAGTCCCCAGACAGTTTGTGGCATCTGACAGTCTCGTTTCCCTGTTTTGTGAAAATATCAGCCTTCCTCTTTGCGAAGCTGCTTGGCTGTACGTGAGAAAGCGCTCGGATAAACACTATGCAAACTTGCTTCATTTCCTTATACAAGATAATTCATTGCGGGATTGCTCACCCGGGCTGTTCTGTTCCGAGGAAGACCCCACCACAGTGGGTACGGGGTGGAATTCTGCTCTGTTCCTGAATACCCTGATTGCTTTTATTTATTTTACTCATTGAATTATGTGCTGCAAAAGCAATGGGTTAAAAGAAAACGAGACAGTGCTGTAATTTGTTGACAGTGTCCCTTTTAAATGCGAGAGTGCCAGCTTGAAACCAATGCACGCGTTCTTGCTGAGCAATGTCAGGAACGCGGGGCAGCAGTAACATGATCAGATTTGCTCAAACCGCTGAGCCAAAGCGCGGCTGCGTTCTGAGAAACTGCGAGCGATGGAGAGGTTTGTTTCAAGGGACTGGGAATTGTCAATCCTTGTAGCTGCCCAGATGCCAAGGGACAACAGAGACCTGTGAGCCCCATCTGACTTGTGCTAACGGCTGTCACGGTTCGTGGCTCGAAGGAGGACAAGCCGATTTAGTCCTAGTTAAGAAACAACAACAAAAAATCATTAGGACCTCGTAAGTCTTTGAGAAGGCAAAGAAACAGGCGTGTGAGGCTAAATGCTGCTTGCCTGTGTGACATGCTAGGTGACGAGAACTGTATTTGGCTTAAAGATCCAACCAAAGGCATAAACTGATCAATAGCAAAGAAGTTCTGCATGAACTGCCTCCTGGTCTCTATGTTATTCCTTGCAAAAAGAGCTAAGCTTTTAGAGCTGTTTCTTCTTTCTCTTGTTTCCTTCTTTCTCTCGTTCTTTCATATAAATCTAGTGGATTGCAGAGGATCCAGGTAAATCCACCTCCTCCAAACAACCTTCACAAACTCTAAGCAATCCAGATAGCAAACTTGGGTGGAGAAACATCCTGCAGCACCAAACAAGTGTTCATCTGGCTCCATGCAGCAGAGGTTGGTTAGCA